CTGAGGAAGTTGTTCTGTAGAACGGAGTATCTCACGACTTCTGCAGAGTCGCAGCCGCCCTGAGGAGACGCTGAAAGGTAGCGTGCCAGGGACCTCTTGACCACAGCGGACCCATCCTCTGCCAAGGTAAAAAGTCGTCACGAGCTTCACTACAAGTGTACCGCGGCGAGCTGCGTTTGAAAGGAGCGTGTTGTCCTGGTCTACAGACATAACTCTTCCCCCACATCTTCCTTTAAACTCCTCCATATTTCCCATCTTTAAAACTCTTCTATCTTGCCAGTAATTAATCCAGATATCTTCAGAAACGTCTGTTGTTTTTATTAAGTAAAAAGTGCCAAGTTTTATTAATCAGAACCAGACCAGTCTAATCAAGTGTACAATGTTTTGATGTTAAATTTTGATTCTGTTAATAAATGACCACATTTATTTTGATTGGTCAAAGAAAATTAACGTCTCATGTCACTGATTAAACCATCTACGCACAGTACCTCTGTCACATATCTGTAAGTAGCTCGAAAAAGAGAGAACCCGTAAATTTAAAATACGACTGTAGTGAAGCTCTGAAGCTAATCGAGCCTGTTAGAACACTAAAGCCCTCTACTACACATGCATTCATACAGCACTCTACTACACATGCATTCATACAGCACTCTACTACACAAAAACATTCATGCAGCCCTCTACTACACAGACACATTCATACAGCACTCTACTAAACACACATTCAAACAGCAATCTACTACACACACATTCATACAGCACTCTACTACACACGCATTCGTACAGCAGTCTACTACACACACAGTTATACAGCGCTCTACTACACACACACATTCACATTCATACAGCACTCTACTACACACACATTCATACAGCACTCTACTACACATGCATTCATATAGCACTCTACTACACACACACACATATTCATACAGCACTCTACTATACACACATATTCATACAGCACTCTACCACACAAACACATTCATACAGCAATCAACTAGACACATTCATACAGCACTTTACTACACACAAACACGTTCATACAGCCCTCAACTACACACACACATTCATACAGCACTCTAC